TCATCACTTTGTCCTCTGCTACGTCCACAGCTGTGCCATTTGAAGCATGGCGTTGGTCTCTTCCTTTCTCTCATTCATCACCTTTTCAGCATGGACGCCATGATTTTCCACATCCTGCAGGTGTCCAGTGTCACAGTTGGCATTGGGTCGCACGTGGAATGCCACTATTTTCCTTGTGAGCCTTGGTTGGGCGAGTCAGAGGCCCCATCTCAATGCGCCCCCTAAACCCGCAGGCCCTGAACCCTCATATCAATGCACTATTGTTGGTCAAAACAGCATCATTAAGCAAAAATTTAAATAAACAGTTGAATATACTAGCTGTGTAATAAGGTGATTGCATTTCTCTGATCTTAAATCCATGTTTTTTCTGACCATGTTAACATCATGGTTGATTGCTCCTTCCATGCCTGTTTGTTTACCGTTTTTTCTTTAATAAGGCGGATTTGCAACAAGTCCTCCGACCTGAACGACAACATAGGTCATATTAACCAACCTCCATATGACTCGCTCATATATGAGCGTATCCTAAAATAGCAACCATACCGTTGGTGTTTTCCATGCCTCCCAACACAACACTTTCAAATGCTGTTTCGTGATCGGACCTATGTTTCGGAAATCAAACACGTGGAGACTGTAGCAACACAAAGGTGGTGAACCGTAACTACAAGCACAGATTGTTGCACACCTGTTGGCTTCACCGGTCAACATGCATAAAATCACTGACTTAGGTTTAGACACACAAACCTGTGAAAGTTAGGGTAAGGGTCTACGTGGGTCTGTCAGCGCCATTAAGACTAATAGCTAGCTAGCTAACGCTTACGTTACAAAGCTAACGTAGCTAAAGCTACAACACAACTTGATTAAAAAACAAATCTATCTTGTTTCGCCAGTTTCCTGGGTGAAAAGCAGCTAATTCACTATCCTTACACCCAACCCACCACCACCAAAAAACTTTCTGGCTATTTTTACCGTCTTTGCCATGTGTTTGAGTTGTATTGCCTTTAGAGGAGACAGCCCTAAGCACTCACCGAGGGAATCACCGAGAATGTGCCACAAAGTCTGTGCGTCTGAGAGTGTGGACATTGAGATTGGGCCAGAGAGTCTCATCAGGCCCTTTTTTGCAGGAAGGGTATATAGGAAGGTGGTGTGCTGGGAGTGGCCCTGATTGCATGCTGCTTTGTGCTTGGTTTGTGTTCGAAACTAAACTTCCCCTTCTCGTAGAGACAGTTCCAGACGCTGGAGGAGTTCATGCCCGGATGACCATCACCTGTGTATTTACAACACTGCAAAGGATTGTTAGATGGCCCTGTCCCTGCCTGTGTTTTCCTTTCCCTACTCTTTGTCTGTTCTAGTCATTAAGTTTTCCCAACCTGCACACAAATGCCAGCAAATGAGACAATGCACTTACAGCAGCACGTCAGCCCACGTTGCAAGAGATAAACTCAGGCACTTTCGTCAAGCCAAGCTACAATCAGGATGGTCAGTGTCTGGTGTTTGTAGGTTGTAAATGTTACTGTACAACACTTCAAATCTAGACTTATTTGTTAATATACAGTTTAGTTTAAATACTTTCTGTTGTGTCCCTATTCTGAAGTTTCAGAAAAGCTTATCAGGCTGTCCGAGATCACACATAACTCTACTATGTTTTATATTTAGACTCCTCAGGAGCTGCTGGTCCAGTTCTACTCTGCAATCATCCAGTCTGCTCTCTGCATATCCATCACTGTCCGATTTGGATTAGCTACCAAACAAGACAGGAACAGACTACAACGTATACTGAGGACTGCAGAAAACATTATTGGTGACAACCTGCCCTCCTTTCAGGACTTATGCATCTCCAGAGTCAGGAAACGAGCAGGAAACATCACTGCAGACTCATCACACGCTGGACATAACCTTTTTTCTTTTAACTTCTCCCCCTCTCGTAGGTGCAAGAACCCTGTAACAACAAACATCCACTTATTGTTTAGGTTGAATTTGTTTTTGACATATAAGATGTTAAGCGGTCTAATAATTAATCCTGATAAACATCTAAAATTAACAATATTTACCAAATTAATCTGGATTATCAATTTTGCCATTAAAAGTTGAACTTTGATTATGGTTATGAGATGTTTAGAACTCCAAATATGTGGTATAATTTTGCATGTAGATCTGCTTACCCTATTTTAGATCTTCTTTGTTTAGCCAAAAAGATATTGGCTATGGAGAATATTTGTAATCTCATCAAATGCTTCAAAGTTTCAGAATGTCCTAGATAGATTATGTACGTTTTTTCCATGATTAGAATGGAAAAATGCTTTTCAACCTTGTGTTTTGGCTGAAGCAATTTCTTCTTTTGTGAATAACCTCTAAATGTGAGGAGGAACAGAGGGAGGCCCAACATCTTCCCTGCTCCTTCTTCCTTAACTCCATTCAGACGAAAACCAAGCTTACAACTCGTCTGTGATTTGTCTTCAGTTTTTTAATTATGAATTTAACAGTGACATTCGTCTAGATTCATTATCTGAAGACCTTGGTGTAAAATAACTTATTTCAAAGACCTGTATACAAAAATGGATTAAACACTCATTTCCAAACCAAAGGGATTTGGTTTGGAAATGAAACCCTGTCCTCTGAGGTCAGAGCAGGTTAATGGCATTATATCAAACTCTGTTTGCGTCATGATTTATTAGCAAGCATCTCAGGACTGGAAGTCCTATGAACTGAACTGAGTATTTTTTCGCAAAACACTCCTAAATGTTTCTCTTTTGACCTTCCACACAATAATGTGGAATTAATGTGATTAATGACAGGAGAAAGTAGGAGTGATAACATGCATACTTTCGAGATGGCGCAGCAGATGGCTGCCTCAGTGTGTTGGTGCGTTTTGTCTTTTTTTGTTTGCAAATTCAGTTTTCTGCTGTAGTAATCAGAGCTCTTTCATCAGAGATGAGCTTCAGCGAATTTATTGCCCATTTTTGGATGTGGTGGATGGAGTCTGTGTTGGAGAAACCTTTGGCTGAGCCAGATGTCCTCAGGTCCTCTCACACACTGTCCCTTTCAATGAAATACTATAATCCACAAGGGTTAAACCCAGTATGAGTTATTTGTTAATCCAAGTGCATATTACAAGTGAATCCGAGCTGATCCCAGGGAGCAACTGATCAAATTCCGTATTACATTCATTCACATACCTTCTTATGCTCCTCCTTGTGTGTACCTTTGTAAACGTTTCCAGTTTGACTTTTGACACCATTATTTTCTCAACTTGTCCTACTCCAGCAAAATTGGCCCTACCTAGAAACAATGGTGTATTTTCCCAGCAGCACATTATAAAAAAATAAAAGCTTTATTGCCATACTGTTTACATCAATCAATATGAAATATTATTTGCAATCTTATCTTGTGTTGTCCCACCTCAAATCGAATACTGATCCTCTCCTGGACCCCACGCAGTAAACATGGTCCGCAATGCCATCCTCCGGCACTTGGACTCCTCAGAAACCTACACCAGGATCCTGCTTGTGGATTTCGGTTCTGCCTTCAACACAGTCATCCTGGCCCTGCTGCAGGACAAGCTCTCCCAGCTGAGTGTGCTTGCGTCCACCTGCAGGTGGATCACAGACTTCATGTCTGACAGGACGCAGGACGTGAAGCTGAAAAGACAAGTCTCCAACTCCTGGGCAAACAGCACCCATTCCCCTCAAGGCTGCGTTCTTTCCCCTCAGCTCATCTCCCTGTACACCAACAGCTGCACCTCCAGTCACCAGTCTGTCAATCTCCTGATGTTTGCGGATGACACCACCATTACTGGGCTTATTTCCGGTGGGGATTAGTACACCTACAGGTGGTAGACTGACCATTCTGGCGACCTGTCACAGAACAACCTGGAACCCACAGTTCTAAAGACACTGGAGACCATCTCCAGTGTGGATTACAGAAAGAGCCCCGCTCTAAACTTACTACTGTGAACTTTAGCACATCCCTGCACTCTGTACGGCTCTTTTATTTACATAATAGTCATATTGTACATATTAATTATTTGATAAAAATAACAATATTTATAATTATTATCTTATTCTTCTTGACTTACAGTACTTGTTTTATCTTTCTTTACATTTTCCAATTACTATTTTTATTATAATGCTCCAAAATACCAAAGCGAATTCCTTGTATGTGTATGTTATCACAACCCTGCCAGAGCCTAATACTCACTGAAAACGTGTTTGACTTCCTGCTGAGAATAAGGATGCGCCTCTGGTCGGTTGTACGACTGGTTCGTGGTAACCCCACACTCCAGCAGCACCTGCAAGACACCCCAGGGGACATAGTTGTAAGCCTTCTCCAAGTCCACAAAACAAAAGTAGACTGGATGGGCAAACTCCCATGAGCATATCCCATGCTTCACTGTTCCACAGCCAGGATGGAACTAAAGCATTCTTCCATTAGGTCATTTTCATGACATTGTCTGGTGAAAGTTTTTGCTTTGATGCATGCTGTTTCTATGAAAATGTTTGTTAATACTGTTTAAAATGAGTTAAAATAGATGTATTGGAAAGGAAGGAATTTTATAGTTAAGTTGCTCATATAGGATTTTCTATCCCAATATTTGCTAATAGGATGGCAAACATATGTGTATTTGCATAAAATACACTTAAGGTTTTTTTGTAAATATTTTGACAGTTGTTGCGCAAGTGTTTAGATAAATCTATGCTACTATTATTTACTATAAAAATTTGTGGTGACCTTGGATATTTTCAGATAAGGTGACTTTCAATAAATGTTTAGATGTAAAGATTTAAAAATTTTTCCATCATTTACAGTAGTGAAGGGAGGAGTTGCACAAAAGTATGGTTAATGCATTTAGATTCAATTTATGTAAATGACATGGTAACATTGTATGCAAATTTATTATTTTAACCAAACAGGTCAGCAAGGCATCACAGGACATTTTCATGGAAATCAGTCTATGTGTTAAGGCTTGTATTATGTGGACACAGGGCCCAGGAGACGGAATATAAGGTTAACAGACTTTATTACAAAAATGTGCAGCGATGGTGAAGGCAGGTACGGCTTGGTTTGAGCAGGGGACAGGCAGGTAGAAGCTGGTGAGGTCCAGGTTCCAGAGAAGTTTGGCTGAAGATCCAGGAAGTGAAGAACTCAGGCGTACACTTGGGAATCTTGAAGCAAAAGATAAACAATGGTTACACAAGAGACTAGAAATTGTGGATACTACGTAGATACTCTAGAAACTAGAGATGGCCTGCAGTACTCAACCACGAGATGGTAAGGAATAATTTGTCAACGAGTCACAGGAAGCCCATGACTTCAGCCATCACTTGATTGGTAGATTAGGGCCCGTTGTGAAACTCTGCCAGGTGTCCAGATTGCCGTCACACCCAAAAGACACCCACTCAAAGTAAGGGAACATGGGAGAAACAAGAGAAAACCCTCAGAGCCACAGCACTGCCTGTGACACCATGAAAGATACCTTGTTATGGTGTGGTGAAAAAGAATTTCTAACCTCCAGATCAGGTCAGGAGGTCAGCAAACTCAATATCCATCCCTCTGGGCACAACAAGTATCTTCTCTAAATTCAATTTGGCTAGAAGTTGTCAGAATATCTTGCTGTGAAGCAAAGTGTTGGACTGAGACATAGAGACACAGAAGGGAAAGCTATGAATACTGATGAAAGCTTCAAGGGAGCTGAAATGTGCTTTTGGAATCAATTGAGCCAGCTTCTGCCGATAGACAGCAAGTGTCTAAATACTTTATACTAATATATTTCAAATGACTGGCATATTGCATTTTTAATTAGAGCAAAGTACTTCAGAGTAACCAAAAAAAACTCACCAAAAGGCCTAAGTGAGTGAACTTTCTGTGAAGAGAATGAAAAGGAGAAAGCGGTGAGAGACAGAAAGAGGGACGGAGGGAAATAAAGAAACACTTACCCTGTACTCACCTCAGCGGCGAGTAAGCCAGAGTGTGGTCTGCGCTGTATTGTGAAAAGCGTGGGCCAATTGACTGTGACACCTCATTTTTTACCCTGAACAGAGGAACACACTGGAACAGAGGTACAATGACATTGCTGTCACCCACGCTGCTGTGCAGGTGATCGGCGGCTTTCTTCAACACACATGGCAAAATGAGACTCACCCAGCTATTACCTGAGCACCACTGAGGAGTGATTCAAAGTTGGGTTTACTCACAAAATAGAGACTTTGTAGTTTTGTCAAGTTTTCTACCCAAAGCAGAAACTGTCTGGATCTACTAGTCTGGAAAAACAGTTTCTGTGTCTAAAATATTTGCAGTCATTTTAATTTGTGATCAATACAAAAAAATTGATATTTGATGGGTTGTGGTTGAGGGTAGCACTATTACACCTCAGCATAGGTTTTTAAAAATACCCTTAATTAATCACTGATTTAATGCACCAAGTGAAAAGCACACTAAGTGACCCATATTGAAAACACCTCTGGGTCTAGCTAAACGCTCATGGGGGACCTTCCAGAGGGGACTTCAGTCAGTTCCTGTGACAGTTGTGACTGCTGGCTGCTATTCTCAGCTCAAAATTATAAGAAAAAATACATGAGGACCACAGTGGAGAGGCAGGGTGAACTGACAGATTATGCACTCACATTGATAGGGCAGAGAAGTCACAACTAGGCACATTGTGGAAGACTACATGGAGTGATTGTTAAAGAAATTAGATGCTATTTGATGATGTAGGTAATTTGATTTAACTAGGCTTAATTTCATAGATTTAGCCACACTGGAATTATCCTTTAGGAGCCAGTGTGAGTAGGGATACATGTGTGAAGACCTATTGAGCACCATAAATGTTTGTCTTAAAACCTTTTCTGACTCTGACCTTTCATCCTCCTCCAGACTACTTCCATAGAGGGAGGGAGGGAGGGAGGGAGAGAGGGCTTGTCAAAGTGTTCACTTTTTCTCTCTCTCTTTGAGAGAAGGAGAGAGGGCCAAAAAGAGAGAGCTGCTCTTATTAGCCATGGCAGGCCTGGGTGGGTCTGTGTGATAGAGATAGATGGTCCTCATGTGACCAACACACATTCATGTGCACACACCAAGACTATACTACACTTTTACTGCTATCACACTCTTTATCAGACACGCACACACACCATGCTGAGAAAACACTTCCTCCTCTGGGAAACAGTGGAAGCAGGTTATGTGTTGATGATGGTGAAAAATTTACATTTTATCACCAAAACACGTGGACGGAATTATCAGCAGTGTGTATTTTGGGTGTGCCTGAAGCTTGTCCAACCCTGGTCAAATCCACTAATTCACAGCATGGCTGTAGAAAATGTGGCCCTGACATGTAGAGGATATGCCAACAAAACTAAAACTAATTTAAATTCACCTGATGGGGCATTGCAAATAAGCACAGACACTATCCTGTTAAAATACCTATTACACTGGCTTGGATGTCCAACAGCAATACTTGCCTCCTTTTGGACATTTTTGCAATTGTGCATTTTGGCTGGATGAACTGCACAGAGAGGCAAATTATGAGCAGCCTGATTAGTGAGTGTGTCTGTGAGATTGGCTGCTGCAGGGATTATAGCATGTGAGGCTGGAAATGAGAGGCTGATTCATGGTCTGGGCTGAATTTCAGAAAAAGAAGAAGTTAAGAGAAGTTAAAAGCCATTTTTTCATCCATCTTCTCTATGTTTAAAGTGTCCAGATGTTGAGACAAACTGTTGTGTCATGCAGCCTTGGCCGATCCCTGAGCTTCTTAATCTGACAAATTTGGGAAATCTGCCATAAAATTTGGTAGAATCACTGTAAAAAACATCTTTCTTGTCCAGGTGCACAGACTATAATGTCTGCCTTCTTTCATTCCACATTAAAGTCTAAGTCTAAATAAACTGCTGTGTGTAATGAAGGAACATGTCAACCCCGTGTCAGTCAGACCTGCAAACTCTAGAGTAGTGAAAAAGGTGACATGAAAATAAAATAAAGTCAGGGAGTTCTGGGGTATTCTCTGCTGGAAGAACATCTGAATGATTTTAATATGCAAATGAAGCCATTTGGAGCCTTTTAAGATTCCAATAGGAGAAAACAATATCTTGTTTTAATAATTTTACTGCATTTCGATTATTTCAAGCACAATGTCTAACAACAGGCAAGATGGGCTACAGGACACGCTGACACACTGATGGACACACACACACACACAGAGGAGTGATAACATTATGTATTATGTGTTGCATTGTTAATCGGAATCTACAAAGTAACTAAAGCTGTAAGATAAATATAGTGGAGTAAAGAGTACAATATGTAAATGTGCTTACTTTCCAGCTGATGTTATTTACGTTGTGTTGTTCTGGCACTTTATTTGCTCAGGCTGCAGGTAATCAAACGTGACTCACGGCAAACGCTCGCGTGCCACGGACAATCATTCCCGCGCAATTATCTTCAGCCTGTATTATTCATTCAGATTTACCGATATGGTCGGTTGGTTTTTCGATGAGTAATAGAATAGAATTATATAGATAGTAGCCTATATCCCATCTTTGCTGAGCAACAGTTTTGGGCAAAAGGAATTAAAGGCCTGTCCCAAATATAGGCAGGGTGAGTTCAGTGATAATAGCAAATAAAAGCCCGGGCTATTGAAAGTTTGATGGTACTAAACTACTGATTGGACAATCCAATAAGCTTGATGCTAGCCTGGATCAATGGACAATCAAGGTTTTGTTGGCTTGAAAAAAAAATTATGGACAGGCACTAGACTTATGCTTAAGTTTTATTATTCGGATAATTATAAAAAAAACTACTTCTGGATCTTTCCCAAACAAACACAAAAACCAATGGCAATTTCTGTAAGAAAAAAACAACCCCAGATTCTGTCCAGATGATCTGTACTATTAAATACAGATCATCAATGTTCATAAACGACAATACATAATAAGCCATGACAACAACATGCAATTGATGGTAGGGGTGTATAGAACTGAATGAGGTAGGAGATTAAGTTAATAAAGTAAAACAATGTCTTTCATATGTTCTTATGCATGTATGTTCAAAATGTAAGTGTCCAGAAACTTGATAAAGACTTTGGATATTTCATTTTAACCGCTCTTCTCTTTTTTGTTCACTTTGATTCTGTTTTGATTCTTTTCGCCTCTCCATCCAAAGCTTTAAAAGGCTAAACTGTTTTTTTTCCTCATGTTTTTCCCGTCCTTTCTGCTACATCCCCGTTCCACACTACATACTAATTATATATAAAGTATATATTAGGAATTCAACTATTCTGTTTTGGCAGTACAAGAAAGTGTGGATTACAAGTAGGTTGTTCCACAGAGAGAAACGTTGGCATCAAAAACAGCAGTGAATTATTTCCCTCAAAGATTATAGAGCGCTGTCCAGCAGTAAACTTCTGAGCAGCCTGTGACTCCTCCACATTTTGGCAGATAAGTAAAACAGCGATGCAATAAATTACATTGTACACTTGATTTCTTAATTGTTTTGCTTCCTTTTAATTAATTTAGGCTATTACAATAAAAAAATCGAACCATTTTGTTTCTGCCTACCTATTAAAACTCACAGGTAGTGGCTGATCTGATGCCACCAAAAAGGAGTAATGTCACCATCTTAACAGGTGGGAGGTTGGCGTCAGTACGTTGACACTGAAGAAGGTAATACAGAATTTAAGATGAAAACAATATTTCAAATAAGGCAATGAGCCAGAGAAGAGAAGATTTTCTGCAGAGTCACACAATCAGTTCACAGTCAGTCACACAATGTCACATAGTGGGGTTGGAGCAACCTGCCAGCATTTGTCTCAGGCGTGTCTTGAGGAAAATAAAGTCATTGTCAGCAGGAATGTAAAAGCTGAAGACAGAACCATTTCTTCAGAGTGACAACACTTCAGTAAATAAAACCTAATGAAAAAATGACAGTAATACAAACTGGCGTGCTGGCGGAATGAGTGTGCAGTATAGGACCGAAGAATAACAGTATCGATGAAAGAGTTAACATGTCGTAATAATAACAATAAAAAGAATAACATTCAAGCATTCAGTGCATTCATAACCAGGAAATGATGATGCAAACTTGATTCTGAGGTATTTTGTTGAGGAGTCCAACATCACCAAGGCAGGAACACTATCAGGACTAAACTACACATCACCTCTGCAGGGACTAAAAAAAGTCCTCTCGTATTTCATCTAATTCTTCATCATGCGAGCGTAGTATGTGGTTTTCGGCAGCCCTCATCACCTTACTGGTACACAGTGTGCCTGAATTTGCCTCTTTGGACATGAGATGGAGGTAAAGGTGAACTGTGTGCCGGACTGGATAGCTGTCTTTGTCTATGACTAACTTACCTTTCAGGCCGTGTTACTAACTAATCTGGCACCTGGCTATGTTACTGCCTACCTGTCTGCTTGTTAACGTTTCTTTCTCTCGCCTTTGCTGCATCACTTTCTTTTCTGCGTGGTGGAGTGTATTGTTTTATCCACTTTAGGGCTGCCTATAAGGCGCCTTGTATAAGATGACGTAGCCCTGACATGGTGTTTGAGAGCTGCAGCCCTGGTTAAAAGGTTGCACATAATTTTATTTAAGCCCTATTACCTAAAGCTCATGACTACTGAATATCACAATCTAACAATAATATTGCACTGCCTCAGAAAGCATGGTATCACAAGTGTAGTGAACCAACCAGTGGACATTTAATTATTTCATGCCAAAAGTAAACAACCAAGCAAAACCACCATCTCCTGTGGAGTTAAGACAACTGACTCTACTCCTGACTGTCAAAATGACAATTTAACCTTCTCCAGAGACATAACCTCACCCTGAACCAGGCTGTGAGGACCTCAGCAGTCATAAACTAAAGGCATAAACTGAGACCCTCCCTCACACACACACACACACACCAAACACTGCCTCTCCCTTTTCGCGCTGATGTAAATACTGATAAGAATGCCAGATGCCAGAAATATGTTTCTCATGTTTCTCATTATAATGTTTCTCATTATAATGAGAAACATTATAATGAGAAACATTATAATGTTTCTCTTATAATGTTTCTCAAACTAAGCAGCTAGTTGTAGCTTTGTTTAGTTACATAATCTTTAAAAGTTAGTTAGTGGCCACTTCAGTTTTGAGTATTTTATTACCATGTCGTTATTGTTTAGCAACTATGTGGAAAAGAAGGAACCATAAGGAAAATAATTTGCTGTGCTGTTAATTTCATTAACTTTTGCTCATTAACATTCCTGCCTGTGATTTATACCAATGCCATGCTTAAACACCTTCTTAGATATTTTGTTATTAAGAACATGTAACAATCAATATTATCACTATGAAATGTTGTTATAACTTATAACGGTGTAACTGTTTATGGTATTTAAGAAAATAGTTGATTTTGTGGAGGAGGAACAAAGCCCTCCTACCTGGGGACACGCACCAAGGGACATTTGCTCTTCTCTCTGCTCTTCTCGCTTGCTCCTGCGACCTCTCCTAGCAACGTCCAGCATCCAAGAGCTTCGGCCCGGGGAAAATCTCTGCAACTTCAAGTTTTCTTCTTATAGAAATTTGGCAATATTCACGAGGTCCCGCGAACCTTCGGTGAATTTACCTTTTGTTTGGTTTGTATAAAGTTATCAGACCGTTTAACACACGCAACTTTTAATTCAGAAACAACCAAGTTTCTTTTAAGCCTTTATTTCAGTTCGAATTAACTTTCACTAGCCTACTCCCCAAGGACAGCGTTTGGAGGCTAGTCAACTGAATCAAGAACAACTCCAGTAGCCTTCCTAACTCAGAGAGCCAATCCAGGGATAATGGCCCGTTTGCTGCAAGAGTTTCCCGCAACACCAAACAGACGAGGACTCAGACATCCCCATTGGCAAAGACCAGCTCGAGCTGGCCATGTGGCGTGCCAAGCCACCGAGGGCCGTGAAAGCAACAAATGAGCCAGCCGATCGTGAGCCTCCAAAAGCAAAACCTCTTTCGCATTTTGTGGCTGAGTTGGTGTCCTTTAGTTGTTAAGTCCCGAAACCAAAGCTCAAGTTATCACCATAAAACTTGTGTCCATACGTGACAATCATGACAAAATAGTAGGACAAAACAAAAAAGATTTTCAGCAGCCACGGTTGCTCCTGGTGTCCAAAGACATCAGCATCTTGTGACCTTGTATGTGTCCACAGAGTTACAAATTATGCCATTACCATTTGTGGAAGTAAATGTGTGTGAGAGAGAGAGAGAGTGTGTGTACGTGTGTGTCTGAACACATATTCAAAATGTGTTAGTATGCTCGAGAGCCAGCGGTTCCGGCCTGTTGTTAATGTTCCAGTGTGATGTCCAGATGAGTCTTAGTGCAGAAATGCCAGCAGAGCAGTGAGCCACTGTACCAACATGGAGCCTTTCGTCCACAGAAACAGTTCATACATATTGAGTCTCCACAGGTTGAGAGACTCTGCCAGCGTGATCTGCAGTACCCTCCACCTGGACTGAGCCTTACTCCTCTTGTACCTGTGGGTCAGAGCAGAAGAAGAACAAGGAAAGGGTCAGGCACAATTTGAAAGTACTGGGTTGAGTCATCAAGATTTCTAACAAATGCACTCCACCAGTTTGCTTATGATCCAAATCATTATCCAGTGTTGGGCAGTAATGTGTTACGCATTACTGTAATGTTATTACTTTTCCCAGTAACTAATACTGTAACTAATTACTTTTCTAAAACAGTAATATTATTACAGTAACAAATCCAAGTAACGCTGCGTTACTTGTCACTGAACGCACCATCCTTGACGTGAAAGCACGACGGCGCTGCAGGTCAGCAGCACCTTTGTTGTTTATGTCCGCTAATAGCCAAAAACTAAAGGAAGAGAGGAGAACGAGGGAGAGAGGCGTTGTCGTCTAGTGTAAACTCTGTGCGACCAGCACAAACTTTCAACCGCGAACATTTCAACATCTGATTTATTGAAGCATCTGCTGAAGCAGCAATGTGAAACTTACAGAAAGAAACTCCGGCAGCTGCTGCCACTGATGCTTTGGACTCGTCGGCAGAGAGTGGCTACTACTACTGAATACTGCTCTTATAAATAGGCTACATGTGCAGAAAAACAGCTGTTTAAAAGTCGGGATTTATTTGCTTTATTTTTTCATTTCAGCCGGTGAGGTTGAGAAACGTTAGGCCTAGGCTATATGCTTTGTAAAAAACACAGTCCTTGCTACTGTTATGAATATGATATTAGTCGGGGGGGAAACTCCTTTGTTTGGGGGTGAAGGGGGGTGGTAGTGAAAGCAGTGTTTCCCATAAATAGCCTATCATTTGGATAATTATCAACGCTGACCGCCACATAGTGATTTTCAATTTTCTTTACTAGGCATAATTAAAATCATTTTTGATTGAGGAGCTGTACTGAAGAGCATATTTTTGTGCAGCACCTCCTATTACTCATAAACACACACACACACACACACACACATATATATATTAGGGCTGGACACATTTTTATGCGTTATTATCGCATTAATGCATTAATTAATAGCGACAATTATTTTATCACAAGTTAATGCAGTTTTTATTTCATTATTATTAGTTTGAAAGTCCCTTGCTCACTGGCTCTGAATACACATCCAGTCAAATCACGGGTCACAGGAGGGGTGAGTTGTTGATCAGCCTGCAAATCACTCACCCAAACAAGCAGGGGAGGGAGGCTTCAGCAGACTTCTTGGCTGAAGCTAGTAGGAGTAGAAGAAGACCGCGTTCCACGAGTGAATGGCGGGAGCTCTGTTGATGGTAACCATGGCAACGACTTCTATGCGCTACATGTATGTAGTTTGCTTATGTAGGCTAACTTAAGTTAAAATTATAGGCTACATAACTTTACCTGATAGGCCTTCATCTAGTTTTGCGGGGACGCTCTGCCATGTGAATTCCCCCCTGTTGATGTCCTGATAACTATTTAGATTCTGGAAACTCACAAACAGCGAGGATCAGTCTGTCTTCCGATGATTTGTGCTGCGCGTCATCTACATGTGTGCGTGAGGCGAGGACCACCGCGACAATTTCAGAGAAACGCACCCGCTTGTTGGTACACCTTGTGCCCGACCACTTCACCTCACTCTAACAAGGAAACTTGATACTGAACATAGACTGTTTCTGCTGCTCCCTGATAAAAGAAAAATGTTTCTGCTGATACCTTTTCAGAAACCCCCCTCAAGAAAACTGGACTCTGGTGGTAACTTGTTTTAACAAGCTAGATAAAAGGTATTGCCCTGGCAGTGGCAAATAGCTTTGGTTTAATATTTGATTACATTAATGTTTAAGTTGAGATTTACAAGAAGTATTTTATTGCTACTAAAGTAAAGGGAATACTGCTGGTAAAAAGCACTTTATTTGTTTAAAGTGTTTTCAAACCACATGTTATTGCAATTTTGTGTATATAGAAGTACATTTAAATTAAAAGTGGCAATACACTACTTTAGATTTAGAATTCATTATTCAATTTTGCACACAACAATGCGATTAATCGTGATTGAAAATTTTAATTGTTGCCCAGCACTAAGGGGGGTGCGTTGCCTAAAAAGTTTGGGAACTGCTGATCTAAGAAGTCATGAGCCGTGAAGAATGAGCAGCTGACAGATGGCAGCTTTTGAGTGAGTTTAGCTACAAATAAATCTTGGATTGTGCTTATTGTTACTGATTAAGCAAAGTATTTGCACGGCTGTAGGCATGGGCGTCGCTAGACCCTTTTGACTGGGGCACATGCCCCAGTATTTATGTGCTGTGCCCCACTAAAATGGTCAGGACTCTTTGGGGTCGCTTTTTAATGCCCTGAGTACCCTTTTGCACATGTAGGGCTCTGCTGTCAAGTTAGCAACAATACAAAAATAAAACTACTGGTTAACACAGTGAAACATCACAATCTGGTTAGGTTTAGGCACCAAAACTACTTGGTTAGGTTTAGGAAAAGACTATGGTTTGGGTTAAAATAACTACGTCATTTAACTTGCAGTATGTAAAAGGTGATATGCGCATGATTATGAGTTTCACCAGACACTTCCCTTTTTTATTGTTATATCTTTAATCTTCGGGATTTTTATCGACTGCCTGAATGTTTTCAGAGTATGCGTGTAGACGTGGTCAGCATGGTAACAGGCATGTGTGCGCATGCTCCGGTTAAAGCCCTTCTATGACAAGGCAGTGCAAATAATAATAGACTAAGCAAGGGCAGCTGGTAAAGCACATATCCATAACACATTTCATATGCTGCAGGCTTTCAACATATTATATGAGGGTGGGGTGTAGGGTGAGGGCTTCAAGCCTGCTTTAGAACATGTGTTTCATCTGTAAACCAGAGTGTAGACCTCTTTGACTGTCTATTTTTGGTAAAATGAGAGCTGAATCCAGAAGGGTAGAAAGGGCTGTACTAGTGCTAGTCACTAGTACAAACAGGCGCTGTTGCTGTTGAGCAAGGAGCCAAGACTACAGGCCATTATTCATTAAGTGCCATTAAAGTTGCCGGGCCAAGTCAGATGAGAAAAAGAAAACAAGTTTACTCAATGTTTAGTCAATGTTTCTATAAATATCTCTGCAATAATACAGAGCAGAAATATGGTTCTGATGTTGTCTGAATCTGTAGACTCTCCACTAGAGTCCTTGTTCTTACAAGCCCCTATGTAAGTCACACAGTGCTAGGAGGCTCGACACACGTTAACTGTCTCTCACCGCACCTAATTGGTGGATGTGTGTGTCTACATTTTGTGTGAAACTAACTAATGGACAAACACTCAGGCTGAGGCTCACCTTAGACAGTAGACTAACACTGCAGTTTTCATTCAATCAACATCGGAAAGGTCAAAAAAATCGCAGAGTAAGTTCACAGTTAGCAAAGTTATTGCAGCGGTTTTTGAAAGCAGCGACAAGACATGACAGTGGAGCTTCAGAGCCAGATGGGTTTGATTGCTTTGATTTCAGTAATATAATGTAAGTAAGCATACTTTGTGTGTGTGGTTTTATATTGAATGTAAAATTACTGGAAATACCTGTTCAAGGTATGATTTGCTGCTGTGGTGGACAGGACAGACGAGAAGCAGTCTCACACCTCCCTCTGTCATGACTATGAGTTGCCTGCTTTTGTGTTTTTTCAGATTTCACATCATGCCACAGGACAGACAACAATCTCTTGGAACCTTCATCTTAGCAACCTTGCTGAGGAAGTCCATAATGACAAAAGAAAAGGCACCGCCTACCATGACAAAGTAATTTTATTATCCCCACAGAGAAGTGGCTGTAGATGAAAGAATAGTCGCCTCCAAGGCTAAAACTGGGTTGACCCAGTAAATAAAAGCAAAACCCACAAAGTGGGGATTCAAGCTGTTTGTCTTGGCTGATTCAAGGCATGGCTACACAGTGGACTTTTCAATTTACACTGGCAAATGTGACATCCCCTCTGGGCATGCTTGGTCAATCAGGTTACCTTGACACAGGGTGCCACATGGACAATTTTTATTCAACCCCTAAGCTCTTTAGGGCTCTCCACGAGCGCAGATTTGCTGCCTGTGGGACTTAACAGGTAGAAGTGCAAGGACTGCCCTGCAAGGACCACATGGTTGGAATTGATCAACCAGACCAGCTCATTCAGTATTGCTTTGCACAACATAAAGCCCTGATACAGAAACCTGTTTTATAATTTTCTGGACATTGCCACCACCAGCAGCTTTATTCTTCACAAGGAACTCTGTCTGGCCGAGCAATGAAAAGCAGAGCTTTCTGTGGCCAAGTCTCTCCACACAGCTCCTGCCCAGACACCTGCAGGTCATCTTCCTGTGCCTATTGCTGATGTCCATGTAGCAGGCCCCAGCGCGAGAGCCACCACGGGTCGAAGGAGGTGGCCAAAGCCAAGGCCAGCGAAAAGACACACTGTGGAAATGCAGGGAATGTGATGTTTCCCTCTGCCTGCAGCTGGACAGAAACTATTTTGCAGCATGGCATGACAGTTGAAAAAATAAAACCTGCCCATCATGTAAATATTGTAGTAGTAATAGTGTGTTTTTTAGTTTCTTTTTTATACATTAAATACTTCGGTTGAAAAAAAAACAAAAAAAACAGTTGTAACGTTCATGTTTCATTTTCACAAAACCCACTAAGCTCAATATGTAGTATAACGTCATTATTCAGTCCCATTTTATCTTGTTCCTGTCATTTAGTAGAAGTAGAGTAACAGACTTCCACTTCTCAAAAAACAATATTTCAAAATGAAATTTTAGACATTTATTTTACATTGATTGTATTCATATATTTCACTACTTTCACTACAAGATTTTGGTAAACCCTTTTCAAGCTCCAAACTAATTTGTACGGTAGGTTTACCCAAGAGATTTAAGACTTTAATAAATCTGACTTTTCAGTTTTAAGGCCAAATAATCTCTTACACAGCGCTCTAGGACAAATAGACGCTCATTATACTGAAAACTTTCGGTCGGCAAATAAGCTTTGCATAGAAGCAATGTTTTTTATCCATTAGATGGTGGATGAGAACATAAGACATAACGTTTAAACTGAATTTTTAGTTTTTGGTTTGCTCAGTCAGTCACCTAGAAGGATGTGTGTTCCAGCCCACGTAGGGAGGACTCAAATTTATGTCAAGAAGGCTACATACTCTTTTTAAAGTAAAAACTCTCAATTCACCTCTAAATAAAGGATTGCTGCAAAAAAATGTTCTTGCGCTTTTATTTTGCAGGCAAAACTAGATAGTAGACTAGTAGACTAAAGTAGACTAGATAGTTGGTTGCAATTCGCAACCTCATCGCTAGATACCACTAAATCTTACACACTGAAGTTTAACGAGTCACTATTAGCCACTACATAAGTTGTTTGTTGAAAATGTTAAATCTCATATGTATGTAGCTCCGCAGTTAGTTTCTGTTTTATGTGTTGAGGTTTTGAGATTGCTACCACTCTGACACAGTGTTAGTGAATGGTATTTTGTTAGAGCTGCTCAAAGCATCAGGAACTACAGAAATGTACTGGATAATCCACTTATTCTGTAAGAAGTAGTTCCAACGAAAACTGCTGATAGTGAGGATTATCCAGAGTAACAGGGACACTTTACAATGACTGTTGACTTTTTCAAATGTCATTTTTCAGTGCTGTGAGCGGCACAAAAAAAATTCCATTCACCAATATTGTATTGGGGTTGTGGCTGAAATCTCCGAGAGAGATCTCAAAACCTTGACACGTAAACCCAAAATAAAACTCAGCATGGTAAATACCATTATATGTTACAGTTTTGTGATTTGGGTGAAGAAAAGCGTTAAAATTTTTGGCCAACAATCAAAACCATGTTCAACGGATGGATAAACCCTTTTGCATTTTGCGGAATTTTAGCCAAAATGTTTTCAAGGCTCGAAGAATAATTGACATAATTGTTAATGTCTTTTTGTCTTTTGCATGGTAGGGTGTAATGACCATTGCAGCCATGAGAGGCCATTAATGACGCTGCAGACTTAAGTTTCCTATCAGTTTTTTTCTTGCCTGCCTGCTTCAGAGGGTGGGGTTGTCCTCATCAGCTCTGCTATAGTTGTTATGCATGACTTAAGTGTGGAACTTGTGTGTCCCAAACAAAGCTCATCCGATGACAACAGTTGAAGGCTCAGGAAAAACCAGTAAGTATACTTTTGAGCTTAAGATTGTTAACTATAACTTTATTACTATCATCCATCATTGGTTTATTAATTTATTTATTTATTTTTCCATCCTTGGTTTCGACCGTTTATTCTGTCAAGGGTCATGGAAGGCTGGAGCCTATCTGAGCACACAATGGGAAACAGGCAGGGTGTACGCCGGATCAGATTACAGAGTGATCACATCTAGACAATCATTCACATTTATAACCATGGGAATTTTAATTGACCTAACCTGTGATGGATATCTGTGTGTGTGCATATGCATGACATGTGTACTGTTATTAGTGTGCTGGTATCCTTGTGGTTCTTACAATAGACTCCTTGCAGACCCTTGCATACAAAGTGTTTGATATGGTATATGTTATCTGCGGGGGATTCAAAGAGGTCTACTTGGTATGAGAAAAAGGAGGTATATTCAAACCTACAAAATATGCCTCAATAGGGATGGGAGGCGGTGGTCTTAAGACTTGGATACCAGTATAAAATTGTCACATGTGCTTCAGAATCTTCGAAGAGACTGTCTCTGCTTCCTGACCGTGTCAATAAAACCTGGGGTTGGACTCAGTGTTCTTGTCATCGCAATCTAAGTAAACCCCTACACCTTCATGTCTCTTTCCAAAATGAAACCCATGGAGACACAGGGAAACAGAAAGGCCCTGGCTGGCAGACAGATAATCACCTTGGTCCACTTTATCTTGCATTTAAAAAATATCAGGACTTGGTGTTACACTCCAGAGACGCTGGTTTTGGCTGCTAACAGCCCATGAACACATGAACACAGTGAAACAGAGCAGCTGTGAGTACAAAATGCTTCAGTTGAGTTGTGGGAACGAGGTGGCACTGCAGGATCCCCTGGTGCCTGTATTACATTACTATCCCATGGCACTAAAGTTGGTTAATATTTTATAAGATGTGCTTATTCAGAAAAGCTTTACCACTGTCAGCAGTACAGCACCAGGCAAGGCAGAGACACTCTGTGTATGTGTGTGTGTGTGTGTGTGTCCAGAGCATTGTCCTTTAGTCATCTGAAAAGTGAAGTGACAGCCCACATCTCACCTCTCCCAACCTGTAGTGGTAAACTCCAATTTTTCTTCCAAAGCCACTTACTTGTCAGCTTAGTTTGTCACATCTCCTGTCTCACCATTACACTACGAATACATACAAAACTGACCTTACTCCTGTCCGTCACAGTGTCTGTTATCTGATACAGCCACCGGGGAAAGCCAAAGTCAGATATCTTAAATTTTTAAATGAGGAGGAATGTGACTTTAATAGTTGCAGCAGAAATAAATAACCACAGTAGCCTACTGTACACTGTTTTTGTAGCAGTTCCTTCTAGTGAGGACAGTTTTCTAGTTTACTCATCACAAACAAATTGATTTTTTTTGTTGCTGGGGCGGTTCGCTTTTACACAAGTGAACCAGAATTTGTAAGAACATGTGTGCTAAGTCATCCATCCATTGGACAGAAATTCTGGAGCAGGGAAAAGCAGGATGCTTTAGATTCATAAACTGAACTATATTATAAGCCCCAGCAGACACAGCAAGCTCTTATACGCACCTAACATGCATGCTGCCCAGAAGAAGGACCATGTATAAAGTTTGAATTCATAGAAAGAGGGTATATTTATACAACTGGATCAACAGCTTATTAAATCAAAAATTATTACTACATACTGCTATGTGTAGTGCTATCACTAATAAGCCATGTACAGCCATGCAGCCCTGCAGTGCTTTCTCCAGCTGGGTCTGATCGAGGTCGGGCCACGTTCACACTGCCTATTCACTGTGGCTTTAAACAAGATAACAAAATGTCTCGTGACGTTAAAATTAAACCTTTAAAAAGAAACAATCTTTCTGACCTGGCCATGGCGTGTATGCAGCAGCGGGACATGTTGATGAAAGATGAGGAGGAGGCTCTGGTCTGTAAGGTGGTCTCAATCCCCCTCAGCAGGTCGTTGGTCTTCAGCAGCAACAGCATCTGCCGTGGCACTCGGTTCAACAGCGTGCTTATCTGGGGCAGGTATAAAGCTGCATTGGTTCGTATCTCAACGTCCTGCCAAGAGAGACAGACAGCAGGATATCAGAAGCTATTTCTTTAGTTGTTATATTACACTGAACAAAATTATACTCGAAAATGTGCAGTTTCGCTATATTGGGGGGGGTCCCGAAACCAGTCAGTATATGGTGTGACCACCATTTGCCTCACGCAGTGCAACACATCTCCTTCGCAGAGTTGAACAGGTTATTTATTGTGGCCTGTGGAATGTTAGTCCACTCCTCTTCAATGGTTGTGCGAAGTTGCAGTCAAGTCGAGACCCCTATGAGGATGATGAGCATGCAGATGAGCTTCCATGAGATGGTTCCTGACAGTTTGTGCAGAAATTCTTTGGTTATGCAAACTGATTGTTGCAGTAGCTGCCCGGGTGGCTGGTCTCAGACGATCTTGGAGGTGAAGCTGGATGTGGAGGTCCTGGGCTGGTGTGGTTACACGTGGTCTGCGTTTGTGAGGCCGGTTGGATGTACTGCCAAATTCTCTGAAACACCTTTGGAGACGGCTTATGGTGGAGAAATAAACATTCAATTCACGGGCAACAGCTCTGGTGAACATTCCTGCAGTCAGTAGGACAATTGCACACTCCATCAAAACTTGCGACATCTGTGGCATTGAGTTGTGTGATGGAACTGCACATTTTCGAGTGGCCTTTTATTGTGGCCAGCCTAAGGCCTTTTATTGTGGCCAGCCTAAGGCAAACCTGTGCATTACCCCTGCTGTCTGATCAGCCTCTTGATATGCCACACCTGTGAGGTGGATGGATTATCTCGGCAAAGGAGAAGTGCTCACTAACACAGACTTTGACAGATTTGTGAACACTATGTGAGAGAAATAGGCCTTTTGTGTACACAGAGAAAGTCTTATAACTTTGAGTCCAGCTCGTGATGAATGGGGGCAAAAACAAAAGTGTTGCGTTAATAATTTTATCAAGTGTATGTTCATGTCAAAGGCCCTGTACACCAAAACTGAGAAAAAAGAAGCTTTTACATGGATAATTTTAACCTCACTTAACCTGCACTGTGTCAAAAAAAAAACAGAAGAACTGGTCACTGACACACCAAACACACACGGTACTGGACTGGACACTGCCTGTTGCACTATTACCCCTGCTTCTTCACCATGCAGACTGTTTCCACCAACGGGGAGCTTTGGCAAGATCAGACATACAAAAATCATTAGCATCTCTGTCTGACCTACCAGACCTCAGCAACACAACCTTCACATGCATAGCACTCATCACAGCAAATTACACCGATCCCCCTCAATCTACATTTCACATTACTTCCATTAGGCAAAAAAACAGGACATGTAAATGGAGGAAGGCACACTTTGGCAGGAGCTTAGTCCATTCTGCCATAGCAGCCCTAAATAAAATACATTGCTGAATACTACGTAAAGCTGTTTGTATATACAGTATGTAAGTGTGTGTACTCATGTATGCAAGTGTGGGCATTCAGGAAGGGGAACAAATGAGTGCATGTATATGAACACCTGCAGATTGTGAAAACAAATTTCCCTCCTGGGACAATAAAAATTATCTATCTATTTGTAATGGAGATCTACAAGTGCTGATTGCTGTTTGCATGCGTGAAAGAGCAACAGAGAGAGTGTGTTTGTGTGTGTTTACATGTCCACTGTATGTCAATAATCTCTTGATTTATGGTAAATGTCTTTGGATGTGGCCATTGAGGATAGTGCGCAATTAAGTCTGAGAGGGTGGGCTACAAGGTAAGTTTAAAAGTCACAAAATCCAGACACGTTACTTCTGTGTCACTGATATTGTTAAACTACCAGATGAGAGAGGAGGGAAAGAAGAAAAGAAAAATAAATAAAGTATTACAGGGGACATGATGACTATTTGTTGTCTTTGATATTGAAGACAGCTGCTTGAGTCTCCATGTGAGCGTCAGTGTCCTGCTCTCCTCTACTTCAAAGGCCTCTCCCTGCTGCACATCAACAGGCCAAAATTACACTATTAGTCATGGAACAAAGTGGACTGCAATCTTGCAAACACTTATTTAGCCATCTTTAGACAGAATGTAAAATCAGGAGGTGCACAATCTGTACGAGTACAGGACATTACAGGAGTGAACTGAACAACTGTGAAATTACATGTTAATTGGAAACATAAGTGGAGAAATACCTTTTTATATCATCCAAACCTCGGACTAGAAGCACAAACAGTATGTTAGTTTTATCTGAATTGTTCATTCAATAGTGGATGGCATCGCCCTGGCCTACCACACCACCATAAGGAGCCTCTGACTTATCTTTGATCTTGGATATGTCCTGCAACATAGGACTGCCTTTTTTTAACCTACGTAATATTGCAAAAATTAGGAATATCCTATCTCAAAATGATGTGAGAAAACTAATCCAGGCATTTGTTACTTCTACGCTGGATTACTGCAATTCCTTATTTTCAGGCTGCTCGTATAAAGTTGCTCAAGACTCCTCAGCTGAGCCAGAATGCTGCAGCACATGTTCGAACAGGAACCAGAAAGAGAGATCACATTTCTCCTGAGCTGTTTTTCAATCTGCGTTCTTGTCTGTACTTGTGTTCTTGTGGACTTGTGAAATGCCATCAGTCGCAGACAAAGTACTGTTCCAATTCAAAAGTCTGCATCTAGCCAAGTACAGTCAAATACCTGGATGTGTTCTCACTCTGCCCGTTTTACCGTGCCTGCATCGGTGGTGACTTGTGTGGACTTTGGATAGCCAGATATCCCAGAATGCATTTCGCCGCCAAAAAGCGGAAATGTCGAATGAGAAATACTGCTCTTCTTCTGTCACATAGTAGTTTTAAGAGTTTTTTATGCGGGAATATAGTTGTTAAAACTCCAAATATGTGGTTGATTTCTCAAGTCAGAGCTGATGTGAGGTCCCGCTAACGGGTCCGGCCGTCATCAAGTCCGCTGCTGTTCCAATTGCTGATTGTCTGACTGCGTGCTCCCGTTCCTCTGAGTTTGTACTCCCGAGCTGAACTTGCCAAGTCCAAGCTTTAAAGTACAGAAGTCCCAACTTGGCAAACTCGGTATTGAGAAACAGCAGTGGTTTAGTTTCTCTGCACTAGCTCCCTGTAAAATCGAGAATAGAAATTAAAATCCTTCTGCTCACATAGTGTTCTGGAACACAATACAAAGCCCAGGCACCACGCACAGCTGCCATAATGAAAATTAACAGCACACTAAACCAAGAGGAGGAAACTAAAAAATAAAATGAAGACCCTCTGTTAGCTAACTTTCTGCAATAACAATGCTAGCTAACGACACCTGGATAACTACAACTAAGTTAACTTAGCTAATTAAACTAGAAAACAAACCAACAATCAGACACACAGAGACATACTTACTGTAAGTTCTAAGTAAATTGGTTAAACAATATTTATCGGTTTGATGCTCTGACTTAACGAGGTGTGACGGCGTGACAGTTTTTTAACGAGGCATGACAGTGCACCTGCACAAGCTTGGAGAATGACGTATGACTTAATCAACATTGTACGGAAATGACTAGCTATCATAGAAATGTCAAAATACACTGGAGGGGGACTTTAAAGAGCTAATAGTACCTTATAGTTTTACCTCACAGTTTTCAGTCATGTGACATGCGTGGTGACCTGGAGGACAAAACAAGTGACCCAATTAGCGGCTCACACCTGACTCTCCCGTAGGGACTGCCGCAAAAGCCGTTACATTTTATTTGGATCACCTCTCAACTCAAGAAAAAGACAGATATGGACGCAAACTGCAAATGTTGGGCACTTGCGATCCATATACAAGACCCGCTGCAGTATTTCCGCCATTAAAAACTGTCCGGTCCCTGCCAGCGCTCGACTGTGGTAATGTTTACGTTTACCTTGTAGGGAATCCCTCACCTAACACAGCTAAGGCTTGTCTCCTCGTCGATTAGTGCATCCGAAACAGCCATCCAGCATTTTGGCAATGCTAAAGTAACAAACTCAAAGTGCATCACTTGCTTCCTGGTTAGCGCGCAGTGGAAAAAATAACGTCTTTTTTTTCCCTCCAAGGGAGCGTTTTCCTTGGAATGTGACATCACGTGAAAACTATGAATTGCGCCACATAGAACACTGTGCTCCTAGAATGCAGGGTTACTTGTGGTTCCTAGAGATCCAAAAATAGAATTTCAGCTATCAAGCTCTCCTGTGGAACCAGGTCCCAGTTTGGGTTCAGGAGGCAGACACCATCCCGGTCCCATAGTTTTGTGCTTTCTAATCTCTCTCCTCTCCCCCTGTCTCTTTCTGCAGGTGTTTCTGCCTCCAGAGCTGTAGTCTGGATCTGTAGTTGCAAGTCACCTTCTGGCCCCGTGTTCCTGTTCAACACTTACTGCTACAATTGTTATTATTAGTCCTATTATTATTATTATTATTATTATATAAAAATGAAAAACATCTTTAAAAAACACAAATATTATTAGTATCATTATTGTTCTGCTTTGTAATAAGTTTTTGAGTGGCTTAGGATGCCTGAAAACCTCTGAATGGTTCTGCAGTGATGGGCTCGAGCATGGCCAGGAAGCTCCATAGACTCCCAAACGCACACCAAGTTACTTTGATCTTCATGAGATTTGGGTGGGATCATTGCTCTCATCCTAAAGAACAAATTTCTGTGTCAAGATTTTGCCCAAAAGGAAGTCAGCTATTTTGGATTTCCTGTGTAAATTTCAATTTACACATGTTTGATGCCTTTAGGGTGCTCAAAAAAATCACCAAGCTTGCACCCATAGTTGAACAGGTAAATATTTCGATTTGATGTCACATTTGTGGTCGGGGGTGGCGTATTGGCGCAAAACTTGGCACACGCGTCAGATGGGGTGAATTTTGTTGTCTGAAATGGTTGTGGGGCACTGGTGTGGAAAATTAGCTCGATAGCACCCTTCATATATGTCAACAAAGCAGTCCCAGTCACACGTTTCGCTTTGATGTATGAAATATGGGGAGCAGATGTATCATCTTGAGACATAAGAAAAAAGTCAGACATTAT